TTTTCCTGCCCGCCTGCCTGCAGAAAAAAGCATTTCAAGAGGTCTCCCGCTGCAGCCCGGCCTTGCCGGAGAGCAGAGCAATGTCAGCCTGCAACCCAGAGGAGGTGAAGCGAATGCCGGCCTGTTTCGATGCGTCATTGCTCTGGGTGGGGTGGGGGTCAGGAAGGAAAGGCAATATGGTTTTACAGCCCAGTCCTCAGTCTGTGGCCCCACAGGCTCTCTGCCCCATGGAGACAGCTGGGGGGGGGATCCCTCCATCTGGATCAAGCAGAATTAGCTGCCCTGCCTTCTCTGGGATAATCCAGATGTTTTCCCGCTGGATGGCTGGGATGAGGGTTAAGGGGGCTCAAAGACCATCTTCCCCAACCTAGTTTCCACCCTTCTCCCCAGCCAAGGTGACCAAGAGCAGCCTCATTTTACGACCTTCCTCACCACAGTTGTTAAGTGAATCACTGCAGTTGTTAAGTTAGGAACACGGTTGTTAGCTGAATCCAGCTTCCCCCCATTGGCTTTGCTTGTTGAGGACCACCTGCCTGTATATTTTAAAATAATCCCCAAAAGCAAAAGGCCAATGAAGCGACCGAGGCGGGGGGGGGGGGGCTGGAGGCAGGCAAGGGTCCCTGGGGGTTTCAGCCCTCCTGGGACGCCCCATTCTTGGCCCTGAGTTCGGTACCAGCACCAGAGCCCCCTCCTCCCCCCTGTGACCTTGGCAGGTCTTGAGGAGACCCATCTGGCACTTGGTCCCGTGCCCTGAGAACGGTCATTAAACAGGCGTTATTAAGTGCGGACAACCTGTATCTGTGTGTTTCTTTTCCCCTCTTCACATTTAGTCCTCTACTTACATAATAGATCACGAAGCACTGAAACATGCCGTATAAATATCGTTGTGTCAAAATAACATATTGTTTAAAAATGGAAAGTTGGAGCAATAAATGGTCCACATGACTAGACTTGACAGTACGTTAAAGTATTCATCGAGTTTTATATTAACATTTTATGGACGTAGGTTTAGTTTCTACAAATGTTACTTACTTATTCATCATCCTATATATCTTTTTCTAGGGCTTGCCCTTTATTGTACCTTCCTGTTGTTGCTGAAAGATATATAAATTAAATATATAGTATAAATGTATAATACATTTTTTAAAAAATCAGTGCCTAGAATGGCTTGTTGCACAGGTGCTCGTCTTCTTCCCAGGTCTCTGGTCCCCAAAACAGTCTCTGGTCTCCCCGATTAAGAGTCAGGCCACAGACCAGGGAGTCTGAACCAATTCAATTCAGAACAGAGCTGGAAGGGACCTTGGAGGTCTTCTAGTCCAACCCCCTGCTCAAGCAGGAGACCCTATACCATTCCGGACAAATGTTTGTCCAATCTCTTCTTAAAAATCTCCAGTGATGGAGCAGCCACAACTTCTGGTGGCCAGCTGTTCCACTGGTTAATGGTCCTCACTGAGGAAGTTTCTCCTTAGTTCCAGGTTGCTTCTCTCTTTGGTCAGCTTCCAACCGTTGTTTCTTGTCTTGCCCTCTGGGGCTTTGGAGAATAGCTTGACTCCCTCTTCTTTGGGGCAGCCCCTCAAATATTGGAATACTGCTATCGTGTCCCCCCTCGTCCTTCTCTTTGTTAGATTGGCCGTATCAAATTCCTGCAATTGTTCTTGATACGTTTTTGTCTCCAGGCCTCTAATCATGAGTTGCTCTTTGCATTTTTTCCAAAAACCACAATATCTTTTTGGTAATGTGGTGACCAAAACTGGATGCGGTATTCCAGCTGTGGCCTTACTAAGGCTTTGTAAAATGGTACTAATACTTTATCTGATTTTGATTCTATGCCTCTGTTTATACAATCAAGGATCGTATGAGCTTTTTTGGCTGCTGCCAGACATCGCTGGCTCCTGTTTAAATGATCGTCCACTAGGACTCCGAGGTCCCTCTCACAGTTACTGTTTTTGAGCCAGGTTTTGCCTGATCTGTACTTGTGCCTTTGGTTTTCCTGCCCAGGTGTAAAACTTTGCTTTTCTCATTGTTCAAGTCTATCAAGATCTTTTGGAATCCCGAGCTTGTCTTCTGGAGTGTTGGCTATTCCTGACAGTTTGGTGTCATCTGCAAATTTAATGAGTTCCCCTTCTCTTCCCTCATCCTAGTCATGTATGAAGGTATGTTCATAATTCCTGGTCTTCAACTAGATATGTTGAAGACCAGGAAAGTCCACCTTTGGCAATTTTAAGACCCGAGGTGGCGCAGCAGTTAGAGTGCAGTACTGCAGGCCACTTTAGCTGACTGTGTTCAGCAGGTCAGCGGTTCAAATCTCACCGGCTCAAGGTTGACTCAGCCTTCCATCCTTCCGGGGTAGGTAAAAGGAGGACCCAGATTGTTGGGGGCAATGTAAATATATATATACATTGCTTACTGGTGTACACCGCTTAGAGAGTGCTCGCACTTAAAGCGGTATATAAGTCTCATAAATAAATAAATAAACAAACTCCCAGAATTCTCCAGCCAACCCTGCTTAAAATCAGCCAGCCAAGTAATGCTTAAAACTACAGGAAAATGAGCAACAGATGGATTTTACCCGTCTCCTTCTGGATTGCTATACTGGTTTTGAGGCTACATCTTTCTCTCCTTCCTCCAGATGTGTCTGAGAATGCAGGCTGGGGATGATGGGAGATGGACTTCCCATTTCTCTAATTTGGGATCCTCCAGGTGTCTCTGAGCACGCAGGCTGGGGAGGATGAGAGATGGGCTTCCCTTTTCTCTAATCTGGTATCCTCCAGGTGTCTCTGAGCACGCGGGATGGGGATGATGGGAAGTCTGATTTAAATGGGGGAGTTTCATAGGGGGAAAACAGCCTCCTTCCTACAGGTGCAAACCTTCTCAAGAAGACCAAGAGCTGGGGGAAGAGTTGTCCACGCCAGCCCGGCCCACGAGTGTGACAGGGAGCGTCTCCCCCAAGCAACCCCCCCCCATTTCCTAGAGCTCCTCCTCGAGGCTGAAATGCCTTCCTCTCATTTTACAACTGGTGGGCCCAAAGTGGGTGAGAATCTGCCAGCCTTCCAAGCTGGCTGACGGCTCCGGGAGGATGAGCTGCCTGGGAGGATGCGGTTGCTAAGCGAGGGGGAATACAAGGCTCTGCATGGCATCATTCAGGATTGTGCAAGACACCCCTCCCAGCGGGGGGCCTCTGCGTGGCTCACGGGGGCGGGGGCTCCAATTCAGCCGCACCCCCAGCAGTGGCCAAACTCCGAGGACCCCACGCCGGCACCAGGGGGTGCGACTCCTCCCCAGCAGAGTAGCAGTATGGGCAGCCCTCAGCTGAGCTCAACATTTCTGTTGCTAACGGAGACCTGTGTTAATTCTGCCCCCTTTTACCACTTCTCGGGATACGGTCGTTAAGCAAATCTCTGCAGTTCTTGTTGGGAACACGGCCGTTAAGTGAATCTGGCTTCCAGCATTGGCTCTGCTTGTCGGAAAGTCGCCCAAGGGGATCACGTGACCCCGGGGGACCCTGCGGCCGTCATAAATGTGAGCCCATTGTGGAGCGTCTGAATTTGGATCGCGTGACCACGGGGGAGGCTGCAATGGTGCGAAAGTGTGAAAAACGATCACAAATCGCATTTTTCAGTGCTGTTGTCCCTTTGAATGGTCACTAAACAAATGGGTTGCTAAGCTGAGGTCTGCCTGTATCGGCACCACACACACAACTCCACCACAACCCCTTTGTGGGCCTCCCACAAGAAAGCCTCCCGCATTCCCACGACGTTCGACGTTCGCTCTCTTGGAGACCAAGAAGGCGTTTTTCAGACGTTTGTGAGGATGGCGTAGGGGAGAGCAGAGTTGAGGGTGCACCAATAAAGCACCAGGCAATCTGGGTTCCGCTCAATGTTTCCAAAGTGCTGCAGAGGCGCCTCTGACAGCCCCCGTCATCTGCGGGGAGAAATGGCCACGGAGAAGAACATCCATTAATTACCCAGCCTTGTCCCAGGCGCCCTTCCCCCTCACGGCCAGAATTAGAAACAGCACAAGATCAGAGGGAAGGGGGCAGCTGTGAAAACAAAGTAAGAGGCAGGCTCTGGAGAACCCCTCGGCCAGCCTGGCAAGGAGAACGGAATACCAGAGCCGGAAGGGGCCTTGGAGGTCTTCTAGTCCAACCCCCTGCTCAGGCAGGAGACCTTATACTAGATCAGACAAAGGGCTGTCCAGTCTCTTCTTAAAAACCTCCAGTGTTGGAGCATTCACCGCTTCTGTTCCACTTTTGGTTAACTGTCCTCCCTCTTAGGAAGTTTCTCCTTAATTCCAGGTTGCTTCTCTCTCTGCTTGATCAGTTTCCAACCATTGTTTCTTGTCTTTTGCCTTCTGCTGCTTTGGAAGATAGGTTGACCCCCTCTTCTTTGTAGAAGACCCTCAAATATCTGCTCTCATGTCAGCCCTGGTCCTTCTCTTCATTAGACTGAACAGACCCAGTTCCTGCATCCGTTCTTCGTATGTTTTAGCCTCCGGTCCCCCAATCATCTTTGCTGCTCTTCTCTGCACTCTTCAGGACTTTAGTTGAAGGAGCAGAATAAAATTTTACAGCGACCAGGGAAAGTTCTTTCACTATCTCAAAGTGCCCTCTCGCATCAGCACCATCAAGCGCCTCTCCAGAATCCAATGGCTTCCACATCTGGACCTGGACATGCCAGAGACCAGCTGCTGCTCCCCCCACCTGACATAGCCCCTACTAACTTCCCCCCCCCCAATATGGGACTGGCCCCACCAGTTGCCCCCCCTTCCTGGGCCTGGCCAATGTGGCAAATGAAAGGTTGACGGAGGAGCCATTAGCAAGAAGCGTGACCAACATGTGGCACGCATGTCAACTCCAGTTAGGGAATGCTCCTTTTCCCTTTTCTGATTTCATGCCTTTAATTTATTCGTCTCATTTTTGCTTATTTCTTGTTGTTACTTTCGTAACATCACAGCCACTTAGAGCCGGATGACCGAAGCCACCAAATGACAATCGAAATGACACACGTCATTGTGGAGAGGGTTGTCTGAACAAAGGACAGTGGTCAGCTTGAAATGCTCTCCTCGGGAAGTTTTGAAGGTCCGTGTCGCTCCTGGTGGGATGGGGGCAGGAAAGTCGTCCTGTTCCCTGGAAGAAGAGACACCCCAGACAGAGGGGGGGCAAACACCTTCAGCCTTCCTTGCTTCTTCTAGGACCCAAAGGAAGGTGTTCCTGCTCCAGGTCCACAGAGAGTCTGTGTCTAGTCTGGGGCAGAGAAGGACCGGGGGGACAGGAGAGCAGCCTTCCAGTGCTTGAGGGGCTGCCTCAAAGAAGAGGGGGTCACCCTATTCTCCAAAGCACCTGTAGGCAGGACGAGAAAGAATGGATGGAAACTGATCAAGGAGAGAAGCAACCTGGAATTAAGGAGGAATTTCCTAACAGTGAGGACAATTAACCAGTGGAACCGCTTGCCACCAGAAGTTGTGGCTGCTCCATCACTGAAGGTGATTCGAAGACATTCGACAGCTATTTGTCCAGAATACTTGAGCAGGGGGGGGGTGGACTAGAAGACCTCCAAGGTCCCTTCCAACTGGGTTATTCAGTTACGGTTGTAAGTCAAGGACCTCTGTTGGAACAGCCTCCCCTGAGACCCAGACGGGCTTGACCCTGCGCGCTTTCCATGAGGTCTTGAAGTCCCAGCTTCTCCCTCCGGTGCTGGCAGAGGCCGAGCTGGACGGTTGGACTGGATTGCGGCTCAGTTTTGCCGTGCCTTTGCTTTGACGTTTTGTGCGGTGTGTTCCCCAGATCACAAGACAGACCCGGCTAAACACGGTATGCAAATCCATTCAGTCCATCCGTCTACACCAGTGGTTCTCAACCTGTGGGTCGGGACCCCATTTGGGGTCAAATGACCATTTCACGGGGGTTGCCAAACAACGCAGTCCGCCATTTTTTCTCCCCTTTTCCTTAGACTCTCTTGAATAGAGTCTAATTCTATTGGCTTTCCAAAGCCAATAGGAATTGTCCAGGCTGTCTCTGCCCTGCTGAGCCCGCCAAAAGTCCCATTCTGCAAACGGTGCTGCACCAGTTGAGTAGTCCTCGACTTACGACCGGTTGAGTAGTCCTCGACTTACGACCGGTTGGGGGTCACGGCCTTAAAAAGGTTGAGAACCACTGGTCTACACACAGCCAAAACAAACAACCCAACAGAAACACAGCCCAGGCACCCCCACCTGCTTACAAAAGCCAGACCTTCGGAAGGCAGAAGCCCCAAACGCAGCCTTCAAACCCGCCAGGTCTCTTCCCACCCAGCGCAGACCCAGGAGAGCCTCAGCCGCCTCGTCTGAGCACTTATTGGATCCCTGCAGGTGGAGCTGGCTTGATCTGTTTTCAGCCCACGCGCCCCCCCACCCCCACCCCCACCCCGTTCTCCTTCTCTGTGGACCAGCTGGCACAAGGGAGGCCCCAGTTCCCTTCTCTTGCATGTCTCCAGCAGGGCTGAGGCTCTGTTGGCCAAGCCGGAGAGCAGTGGCGGGAAGAACGAGGGGGCTGGAGGGAGGGAAGATGGGAGCCAGGACTAGGTAAGATTCCCAAAACTTCAAACTTCTGGTTACGGGAGATGCCCAGATTGGTGGCTTGTGGCTTAAATGCAAACCAAGGTCGACTATTGTCTCTAGCTACCTCCACCCAGCCAGCAAACCACCTGTGGGTGGATGACGTTTGAGGAGAGAAAAGAAGTCAGGAACAGGGCGAGAAAGTTTCCAGAAGAGCGCAAGACTTCTCTTTGCTCCTCAAGGCTCAGGCAGGCCTCCCTCCTTCCTCCCACACAGAACGGCAAGGCCCCTCTTCCCCCACAAACCACCCAAGTTTTAACCAACCAGCCAGGATCAAACCCACACACCAGTGCACCAAGAAAGGGACTCTTGTGCTCAAGTCCAAGCGTCCCCAGGACGTGGCACCCCTCGGGTTGATGGCGGGGTCCCTGCTTCTGGCTGCACAGTTCAGAAGTTATGGCAGTGTTTCCCAAACTTGACCATTTTAAGGCATGAGGACTTCAACTCCCAGAATTCCACAGCCAGCAACGCTGGCTATGGAATTCTGGGAGTTGAAGTCCACATGCCTTAAAATGGTCAAGTTTGGGAAACACTGATTATGGGAACAGTCCTCCCCCCACACCCACACCGGGGTCAAAGAGAGGGGAAACTTCTTGGCTCAAAGCTTCCCTCCTTCCTGTGTCGAACCAGGGACAAAGAATCCCGGTCACAGCTGTGAGACGGTCAGTCAGAGCCCGTGTGGTGTGGTGGTGAAGGTGCTGGCCTAGAAACCGGGAGTTGCACCTTAGGCATGAAAGCCGGCCGGGTGACTTTTGGCCAATCACTAGGAGATTGATTCTGAGTTCCAGTCCCGCTTCAGGTATGAAAACTGCCTGGCTGACTTCGGGCCAACCACCGGGAGACGGCGAGTTCTAGTCCCGCCTTAAGCTGGCTAGGCACTTTGGGCCAATCCCCAGGAGACGGTGACTTCTAGTCACAGCTTAGGCATGAAAGCCAGCGGGGTGATTTTGGGCCAATCACCAGGAAGTGGTGAGTTCTAGTCCCGCCTTCACCATGAAAGCGGGTCTTTCTCTCACAACAACCTACTCCACAGGGTTGTTGTGTATAGATATCTTTCGCAGCCTGGAGTTACTTATAAAGGCGGATAAAACAATCACATGAATAAAGATCAACTTCATCAATAGGACAGCCAAGGGGGCCTCGGGAAGCTGCGCAAAGCGGGAGCGCGCAAGTCTTCCAGGCGGCACCGACGCCTCCCGGGGCTCCGGTCCCGGCCCCCCACCCCTCCCCCGCCCCAGGTGCGGCTGCCCCCGCCCCGCCCCCTGCCCCCCCCGCCCCCCGGGGCGCTGCTCACCTGGCCCTGGCGCGGCCGCTCCTGCGCAGGGAGGGCGCCTCGGCCTCCCGCTCCTCCCGCACGCGCTGCAGCGACGGGGAGCGGCTGGGGGCGCCGCGGGGCCCGGCCTCGCCCGCCGCCTCCCGCATCTGGGCCAGCAGCTGCGGGGGGAGGCCGCGGAGCGAGGGCGCCGGCGAGCAGGGCGGGCGGCTCTCCGCCTTCAGGTTGTTGTCGCTGGCCGAGCGCTGGAGCAGGCGCGGGGAGGCGAGGCCGGCCGCCGCCCCCCCCAGCCGCCGCCGCTTGGTGTAGCTCGGGGTCTCGCGGAAAGGCACTGCGGGGGAGAGAGGGAGGGAGGGAGGGGGGGAGAGAGAAGGAGGGAGGCGCGGTTAGCACGGCCGGACCGCCGCCCACCACCGCGCGCCCCGGCGAACTTCCCGGCGCTCCGAGGCGCTTTGGCTGAAGGCGGGAAGGGAAGCGGCCCGTGCAGGACGGGGGTCTCCGTTTCCCCGGAAAAGGCCGCCCCGGCTGCCCAGCTGTCCGGAACGGGCGGGAAAGACCGCCCGCGTTGCCTTCTGCATTTCGCGTCTGGCGTCTCGTGCAATATATGTTAACATCTGTTCGGATCTTTTTTTTTTTTTTTTTTTTAAACCCATTAACACGGATGTAAAAAGATCTCCGTGCCTGGAATTGGGACGGGATCCAGCAGGGATTCCTCCTCCGGCGCAGAAGGGGGGGGGGCTTGGGGGAGGGAGGGGGGTTGCCAGAAGCTGGGCTCGGCTCTCCCCCCGGGAAACAGCCCAGCAGCCGCCCCCCCAGATGAACCGTCCCCCGCCGACCTGCCCGCCCCAGAAGGAAGAGGCCGAAAGGCACGTGAGGATGGCGTGACGCGGGGACGCCTCCCGTTTCTCACCTGGAGGCGCCTCCGGGAATGTCCCAGGTGGCGGGACCGCTTCCTGGGACCCCCTCCGCGCCCCCGCTTAAGACAGCCGGCAGCCCAGTTGCCTCGCAAGGGAGGGGCCGGGGTGGGAAACCGGGGGTCCTAAAGCAGCGTCCCCCAACTTTTGGGCACCAGGGACCGGGGCCGCGGAGAGAGGTTTTTCTGCGGACCTGGGTGTGTGTGTGCTTGTTCCGCCTGCTGCCTGCATCCCGCGGATGGGGCTTCGCTTGTTTGTGCGGCCCGGTTGCTGGCAAGGGGGTTGGGGACCCCTGTCCTAAAGGGATGGCCCTGTTTTATGTCTGCTCCAGAGAAGCAGCGCGGCTGACTTTCTAATCGCCTAAAGTCCCCGCTGGCTTGTGTCGACAAACACCCGGAGCCCCTTTGGCTCGTGGGGAGGCGTTTCGGTTGCCCTTGGCTCCCTTTTAACCACCCCCCCCCCAGTCTTCCGACTGTGGGGAGTGCCCAAAACACAGCCAACTTTTTAAAAGGAGATTTCTTCAACTCTTTATGCTGGCTGTGGAATTCTGGGAGTTGAAGTCCACATGCCTTAAAATTGTCAAGGTTGAGAAACACTGCTTTAAAGGTTCTTAAGAAAAGACTGGACAGCCAATCTCCTGCTTGAGCAGGGGGTTGGACTAGAAGACCTCTGATGCCCCTTCCAACTCTTATTATTCTTGCCCGCCTGTATGCTGACCTCAAACTGGGATTCAAAGTGACAGAAACCCTGGTCTGTTTAGTGGTGAGGTGGGCTGGGGTGGACCCAATGCCTCAAATATAAGATTCCTGCTTTGGGGGGGCTTCAGAGACATCATGGATTGGATTGGGCCCAAATTGGGGGCCAAAGTTTTCATAGCAGCCCCCTGAAACTCCTGCTCTGTCAGCTCCCTGGACAGGTGGACTCCCTGAATCCTTTTTTTTCTTACAGGAAGAAATGTGCCCTCAGAACTGAGAAAGGGGCTACAAAGAGTGACTTCCAGTGGCAAGGAGTTCCACAGTGGACCAGGGATATGGCTACATGTCAGCGACTCCAGATCTAAAGAAACTGAGAAACTAGTAGAAGGGAGGGGGTCTTGGTGCTCTCTGAGCTTGGATTTTTTCTTGCAGATGTTTCACGACCAAACTAGGTAACGTCATTAGTGCTAGTAAGCAATGGATTTTTTTCCCCTCACTTTTTATTGTATATTAACCTCACTCCTTACTAGCACTGACGGCGTTGCCTAGTTTGGTCATGAAACGTCTGCAAGAAAAAATCCAAGCCCAGCAAGCGCAGAGGGCTCCAAGCAGGCTTCATTTCAACCCTCAGCTACAAATATTCTCCTTTATTGCCCTAGATCAGTGTTTCCCAAACTTGACAATTTTAAGGCATGAGGACTTCAACTCCCAGAATTCCACAGCCAGCAACGCTGGCTGTGGAATTCTGGGAGTTGAAGTCCACATGCCTTAAAATTGTCAAGTTTGGGAAACACTGCCCTAGATAGAAGTGGGCTACAAATTACAGCAGTGGTGTGAACGTCCAGAAAATATCGGTATTTAAATGCGACAGCTGCCATTACTCTAGCTTTAATTTTTTGCAGCTTCTGTGTGCAATTCTATGCCGCATCTGGGACCTCCACGCCCAGCATCCTGCGCCCTCCTGGCAGAGGCTGCTGGGAGCTGTGGTTCAGCAGCCTCTCACGGGGCATGACTTTACAGGCAGTCCTCGGCTTACGGACACAACTGAGCCAAGATTTCTGTTGCTAAGCGAGACATTCGTTAAGTGAGTTTTGCCCCATTTTTACGACTGTTCTCGCCCCAGTGAATCACTGCAGATGTTAACTTAGTCACACGGTCGTTAAGCGAATCCGGCTTCCCCCACTGACTTTGCTTGTCAGGAGGTCACAAAAGAGGACCGCATGACCCCTCCGGGACCCGCTGCGACCGTCATAAACACGAGTCGGTTGCCAAGGGCTCAAATTTTGATCACGTGACCCTGGGGATGCTGCAACGGTCGCAAGTGTGAAAAACGGTTGTAAGTTAGGTTTTTTCCAATGCCGTTGTAACTTTGAATGGTCAATAAATGAGATGTCACTAAGTCGAGGACTGCCTGTACTGCACGAAAAAAAAAAAAAAAAAGACCAGGGGCACTTTGCACATCCGATGCAACACACAACACACAAAAGAGGCCGTGCTGGTGCTGCTTTGGTCACTGCTGTGCCCCCCCTCCCCGGGGTCCCCTCTGGAGAGGATGAGGGGCTCCCCCCCCAGGGAAACCGAAGGGGCTGAAAATGGCTCATTCCAACAGGTGCAGCCCGGCCCTGACCTTCCCCCCTCCTCCGGCTGCTCCACCTGGCTGCTTTAATCCCCCCCAGCCTGCAAGAAAACCCCGTGGAGGCTGCTTGCCCTCTTCCTGTTGGAGAGGACCACGTTCCTCCCGGCATTAACAAGCAGCATCGGTTTATTTGCTCGCTCCTGGGCGGCTCCCATCGCAAATGAATGTCAGCCGTGCAGGCGCCCGATGGGGAAAGGAGGGAGATTAAATCCATCAATTATAATAGCACCAGGCAGAGCAAACCGTCCTCTTAACTACTCATCCATTGTCCCACCCAACGGAAGAACAGAAGGATGGGCGCTCTCCATAAAAGCCTTTGTCTCCCGCAAGGAGGGAACAGGCGCCCTTCCTTACAGCCCGCGCGCGCGCGCGCGCGTGTGTGTGTGTGTGTGTGTGTGTGTGTGTGTGTGTGTTTCCTGACACAGATGGGGTGCCATCTCAAAGGAGAGATGTCCGTGGAGATGCCCCATCGTCCAGGCCAGGCTTGTCCCAAAGGTGCTTTTTCCGAAAGGCAACTGGACTTTCTTGTGTGTTTGTTTTTTCTCCTCTTGAAAACGTTTCGCTTCTCATCCAGGAAGCTTCTTCAGTTCTTCTTCTTCAGTTCAGAACCGAAGCAGCTTCTTAGATGGGAAGCGAAACGTTTTCAAGAGGAAAACAACAAAACCCCGTCCAGTTGCCTTTTGGAAAAAGCAGCTTTGGGGTCTCGGAGGAGCGAGGGGCTCCACCTTGCCCAGACTGAGTGGACGGGACTCCTTCTCGCCCCTCACCTGCATGGCATCTTTGGCTCAAGAGGGCGGGGGGTGGTGGTGGCCGGCATCGCCCAAGCACAGAGGGGGCCCTGTGGGAGTGGGCGCCCTTTCTCCGGGCTGCCTGGAGATGATCAGCCCAGTGCGGGGGGGCCTTTAGAGAGAGTCTTTCTCCCATCCTCCTCCTGGGAGTAGGTGGCCCTCCATCTTCTCCCAGGAGGAGAAGAATTACTGCCAAATTGGGGCTCCTCCCAACCTCCAGAGGCCATGGTGGATGGATGGTATCAAACGCAGCTGAGAAATGAGACCCCCCCCCTCCCAGGGCTGAATCTACCCATCTGAGACCTACCAGCCATTCATTTTGGCACTGGTCTTCCAAACAGCTTTGAATATCATGGGTTGTGGCTAATTTTAGTTGTCTTTTGTGGGTTTAATAGCTGCCCAGAATCATGGGCTGGCATATGAAAAGGAAGGGAGGAAAGAAAAGAGGGAGGAAAGAAGGAAGGAAGGGAGAAGGGAGAAAGAAGGTAAGGAAAGAAAAGGGAAGGAAAGAAAAGGGAAGGGAAGGAAAGGACAGGGAAGGAGGAAGGGAAGGGGAGGTCTTTGGAGCACTCCTTGAGCTGGATCCAGATTGAAATGGATCCTAGATAATCCATCTGGAGATCAGGTCATTCTTACTATTTCAAACTCTCTCATTTCCCTTCCCCATATTTTAAACCGTTGCACAGCGCTGGGTTCTGCCTGTCCTTAATGGCCATCATTGATTTCAGATGTACTGTTAATCCTGATAGCCACCAATTATATCCACGTCCCCTCATGGTTGTTTGTATGATTGGTTACGCTTTAATTAACCATCTCGCCCAGAAATGACAGCAAGATTTTCTCCCTTAATTGGTTTCTCTGCCTTTTGGGCTCCCTGGGAGAAGCGTCTGCCCAAAGCCGGGCGAGAACAGCCACCCTGCTCTCCGCTGTGGGAGCCTTTGGGGGAATTTCCTTGGAGGCAAAGAGGGGTGGAGGGAGGAAGGACTGAAGGCCCCCCCAGGCCATAAACCATGGCAGCCTCAGGGAAGGAGGTTATTTATTTATTTGATTTCTGTAACCTCCCCCCCCCATCTCAGCAAACGACTCTGGGCGGCTCACAATTCAGAAACATGTTCCAATTAAAATCTTAAAGGCGTTTTAAAAATAAAAACCATTAAAACTCCACAAAAACGTTAAAATGCCTGATTTGAGCACATCTCAAGCAAGAGACCTGGCCTGTTAGGAAGGCAGCAGGGAGGTGGAGATGGGGTGGGGGTCTTGGCACATGGGGTATCCCAGGCTGGGGAGCCTCATCGGGTCTTTAAAGCTTTATGGAAGGCTAACGGGGTGGGGGCCATTCATGGGGGGGCCCAGAATCAGTCTGTGAAAACCCAGAGGGCACCGCAGGAGAGTTTTCGGCACTTGGCAAGAGATGGGACTAGATGATCTCCATGGAACCTTCCTGCCTGTCCATTCTCTGATTATTTGACTCTTCACTCTGCATTGGTCTCCCCAGCCACCCCCCCAGGCTTTTCTCTGGCCCTGGGAGACGAAAGGGGTCCAGAAGCCCCTTCCTTTCCCTTTCCCTGGAGCCCCCTCCCCTCAGCAGATCCCTGCCTGTCGGGGGCTCCGGGGCTCCTGGCATCTCCAAAGGGCGGGGAGAGGCATTGCCCTTGTTCCTTTGGGACCCCCAAAGTGGACCCCCGGACCCTGCCAGCTGTAGCACCGTGAAGCCCTCCTGTCTTAACCTGGGCACTTTCTCCTGAGTCCTTGAAAGCCTCTTTTTAAGCAGAGAGCGGTCACTCGTCCGGCATGGGAGGGCCTCCTGGTCATTCTGTCCTTTCGGAAGCCGATGCCAGGCTGGGCAGCCCTGCTGTTTTCAGAGCCTCTGTCGATCCCGACGCGTTCCGAACGGAATCCTCTTTCAAAGGGAGCCCCAAAGCCAGAGAAACCAATTAAGGAAGAAAACCTGGCTGTCATTTCTGGGCAACGGCAGTTAATTAAACTGTAACGAATCGTACAATTACACACACCGTGCGGGGACATCAATATAATTGGTTCCTCTCAATACACCGCCTCCTGGCTGCGATCTCGGGATCAGCCGGGCGGCTGCACCCCCAAATCTGGCAGCCCTTCCCTTTTCCGGCGGGACTTTTTAATTTTTGAGTGATTCCGTCAGCCGTCCCTAAGCGAAGGGGCTGATTCCGTGCCCAGCGCTCCAGAACGACTGCGACAAGAATTTGCAGCCGTGCCACGGAGGGGGCTTAGGCCGAAACGACTGGCGTGCCCTCCAGGTGCAACCTGCGTGTCTCTTCCCACCCGGATCGCCTGGCGTGGGCACCCGCGAGGGGCAGGAAGAAGACCAGGGCCAGCCAGCCAACACTCTGGCAGAAGCCAAGTCCCTGGGCCTGGACTGGCCCAAATGCCGGAGGCCTTGGCGCCCTGGTGGTGCAGTGGTTAGAGTGCAGTACTGCAGGCTGACTCACTGCCCACTGCCAGGTGTTCGATCCTGACCGGCTCAAAGTTGACTCAGCCCTCCGTCCTTCTGAGGTGGGTAAAATGAGGACCCAGATTGATGGGGGGGGGGGCGGGGAAGAAGCTGACTCTGTAAACCGCTTAGAGAGGGCTGTCAAGCACTGTGGGGCAGTATAGAAGTCTAAGTGCTCTTGCTAAGCGCGAAGGAAGGAAGGAAGGAAGGAAGGAAGGAAGGAAGGAAGGAAGGAAGGAAGGAAGGAAGGAAGGAAGGAAGGAAGGAAGGAAGGATGGATGCTGGGAGAAAGGGAGGGACCCCCTGTGCTACAGCTACCTGCTGAGCCCCCTGCCCTTGAGACTCCCGGGAGGGGCCCTCATCCTTCCTGGCGGGACTCCAGGGGTTGCCACCCCAGTTTCTCAGTGCTACAGAAAGCCAAAGGTCACACACACTTACCAACGTCGGACTCTTTGTGGGTTTTGATGATTTCTGCCAGTTCAAAGTTCCCCGCAATAATGGCCACCTGCAAGCAAAGAGGCCAGAGTGAGCCGGATGGCTGCTGACCGCAAAGAGTTCTTTGAGTGCCACTCTGCCTCACGACAGCCCTGCAAAGTAGGCCCTTTGCTTCCACTTCATACAGGGACACAGGAATGGGCGCGCTCCATTCAAGCTGCCAAGCCCGGAGATGTTTGTTTGCAGCTGGATCGGAGCCCAGGAAGAGCTGGGCATGGCCAGTTGTGTTCTTAACCCCTTGGGGCCCCCAGAAACCTTTGGAAGACCTGGGGGAGATGCCTCCAAAAGGGGGAGACCCCCTGGGGTCAGGAGAAAAGGGCCAGGGACCCTCATTCAGCTTCCCTTGCCAAGCAGGACTCGGCCCACGTTCCCTCCCTTGTGCTTTCATTCAGAGGGAAAGGAGCAGCACCGCCCCCCCCCCTCAGGCTGGTGGGAATCTGATGGCCCACTTTGGACTGGGGTCCAGAAGAGGCAGAATCGGGCAGTGGTCGCCCACCCTGCCAGCAAGTGAAAAGCTGCGCAACTGAGTTGCGGCAGTTGTGATGCCCTCTGCCACTGATGCCCTTCTCCTAGAGGGATCAGCTCCACCCCAGTCATTGACCAGCCAGAGGCAGCTGATGATGGAGAAGGCTGGCAGGCAGTGTGGGAGAGAGAGAGACTGGCCAGCCAGGCGGAGGAGTCAAACGGGGAATCAGTCTGGCATCGCTACATGGGCACAAGAGGGTGAAGTCTGACCCCCTTTGAATGCTGTTGAACACTAAGTAATCTGGCCCAGGTGCAAACTGGCAAGATTCCTGCAAAACAGGCACGGAGCCCTAAACTAGCTAGCTGAACGCTTTCTGTGTGGACCTGGGTGTTCGCGCCTGACAGGTGGTTTGATCAGAGCAGGAGGTGAGAAGGGGCAGCGGGGAGGCTGACCTGCCCCACCCCCCACTTTGCTTCTCTTCTCCAGCTCCCAGCCAGGGGGAGGGGGTCAGGGCTGCCTGGGGTGCTCTGCCTGCTGTGACCCCCTCCCCAGGCCCCAGAGCTCCAGTGACTCCACCTTTCTTTTGAGGACCCTCGGGCAGGGGAAAGAGGGCTCCGGCAGCGGTCTGATCACCCCCCCCACACACACACACACCAGGCCTGGCACTGGAACCGATGCAAGGTGCTGCTTTCTGACTTGAAGTATGTAATGGATTCAGACGGGTGTGAAATGGAAAATCACAAAGCGCCCGTCTCACGTTGGCCAAGACGGAGGAATGCAGGGGAGGGGGGGATTCATGCCAGTCTCAGGGCTTCGAGGGGACAGGATGAAGCCCCCGACAGGACTCGAAGCTGCTGGAGAGGCCCGGCCCGGCCTGGGCTTGGCCAGGAGGAGCCCCGGTCCCTTCTCTGGGGCAAGTCTTGCTCCGTGGTTTGAGGCCCTAGCCGAGTCCTGCTTTAACGGCAGAATAACAGAGTTGGAAGAGGAGGTCTAGCCCAGCCCTCCTGCTCAAGCAGGAGACCCCATGCCATTCCAGACAGGTGGCTGTCCAGTCTCTGCTTAAAAACCTCCAGTGATGGAGCATCCACCGCTTCTGGAGGCAGGTAGTTCCACTGGTTAATTGTTCTAACTGTCAGGAAGTTTCTCCTTAGTTCCAGGTTGCTTCTCTCCTTGATCAGTTTCCATCCGTTGCTTCTTGCCTTGCCTTCAGGGGCTTTGGGGAATAGCCTGACTGCCTCTTCTTTGGGGCAGCCCCTCAGATACTGAAATACTGCTCTCATGTTCCCCCTTTTCTCTAGACGAGACAAACCCAATTCCGACCACCATTCTTTGTATGTTTCAGCCTCCAGCCCTTTAATCATCTCTCTTGCTCTTCTCTGCACTCTTTCTAGAATCTCAGTATCTTTTTTATAACATGGTTAGCAAAACTGGATGCCGTATTCCACGTGTGGTCTCACCAAGGTCTTATAAAGTAGTATTAACCCTCCACGTGATCTTTATTCTATCCCTCTCTCAATGCAGCCTAGGGCTGCGTTGGCCTTTCTGCCAACTGGAGCAGGCTGCTGGCCGTGAGGCCCTGGATCGGCTGAGGGGTAAGACAGGAGGACACAGGCCTTCCAGGGAGGGCTGCCTTCCTAAAGGGGTGGGGGGGTGGGTGGGAGGGAGCAGCCCCTGCGAAGCCTCGGCAGGAGAGTGCTGGAGGTCCCCCGTGCCCCTGGGGAGACCCTCCTGGCACCCCTCCCTACGAGAGAGGGGGAAGCAGGGGGTCCCTCTTCTGGAGCCCGCCGTGCCCCTACCTGAAATGCGGTCTGGCTGTTGTAGTTCCGGATCTCCTTGCTTGCTCCCCGGAAGAGCAGAACCCGCGCGCAGCTCTCCTGGCAGAGAAAAAAGGAGGGCAGCGTCAGCTCTCCTTCTGACTGAGCAGAGGTGGGCACTCCTGGCCTCCTTAAGCCAATGGGGGTGCTGGAGGGGGACACAGGGCTGCCTTCCATGGCTGCCCCCTGCGTTGCCGGGAGAAGGAGTGAGGTTTGGGACCAGGGACGCCAGCAGGACGGGGCAGGGTCCCTGCAGGGCCAGCTCCTCCCTTGTCTCTTGCCTTCCCCCCCCTCCACGTCCCCCCTTGGCCCAGAAGATGGTGTGGGCCTCCTGGTCCAAACTCCTGGATTCGGACGAGGGAGCCAACCCAGGCCAGCCCTGAGCCACGTTCGGTTACCCCTTGCGAGAGGACCCTGGGATGCCCTCTGTACCCTTCCAGGGCTGGAGACACGAAAGGCCACCACTGGCCCTGCAGGAACGGGGTGGGAATGTGACCCCCCCATCTCCATTGGACCCCCCCCTCCCTTCACAAAGTCCACCTGTCTTGGAGCGTTATTGGAAAGTAAATGGAACTTAGTATTAATTAGTTCAGGAAGAAGAAGCGGGAAAGCAAAGGATGGACAACGGACCATCAGCGGGATGCCAAGAATCCCTGCCAGAGGAGGAGGGTGTGTGTGTGTGTGTGTGTTGGTGTGTCTGGGGGGGGGGGACTCACCTGGTTGTAGAGGGCGCAGACGTGCAGGGCAGTGTTTCCCGAGGCGTTCTGGGCCTTCATGTCGGCCCCGTAGAACAGGAGGTGCTCCAGGTGCTGAACGTGTCCGTAGCGGCAGGCCTGCTCGGGAGCAAGGAAGGCAGGACTCGCATTCAGAGCCCATTTCAAGGCCCGTCACCCTCTGTGCCACAGCTCCCACTCTGAAGACCATGGATTTCAAATCCCATGGTGCCCACCCTCCCCCTGGGCTCCCTTCCCTCTCCAGCCCTTCCCCCGGTTCTGAATTGTTTCTCTCTGGGGTCAGCGAGATTTCCCATTTGATCGATTTATTAAATTTAGAGGCTGCCCATCTCACTCATGAGGCAGCTCTGGACAAGCCCTGCCCAGTAACGCCAGCAGACGGGCAGTCCTCGCCTTACGACCACAGCTGAGCCCAAAATTTCTGTTGCTAAGCAAGACAGTTGTTAAGTGAGTCTTGCCCCCATTTTACGACCTTTCTGGCCACAGTTTTTAAGCAAATCGCTGAAGTTCTTAAGTGAGTCAGACAGTTGTTAAGTGAGTCCAGCCTGCTCTGTGACTTTGCTTGTTGGAAGGTTACAAAAGGGGGGGGGGTCACACCTCCCCTGGACGCTGCAACGGTCGTAAGTATGGATCAGTTGCTAAGTGTCTGAATTTGGATCACGTGGCTGTGGGGAGGCTGCAACGGTCGTAAGTGTGAAAAAGTCATAGGTCGCTTTTCTCAGAGCCCTTGTGCACGGTCACTAAACGAGGACTACCTGTAAGTTGAGTTCTACCTATAGAATTTGGAGGTAGGAGAACAGGGGGGGGGATTGAATGCCAAAATTGCTTTAAAGACTCCCCCACTCCAGGTGCTGCAGGGTCTCTGCCCACAATGGGGTGGGGTGGGGTGTAGGACAGGCAAAAGGATCTCCCAGTTGCCCCCTTTCTGTGCCAGGGTGGGGAGGCATATCTGCCCCACAGCAAAGGGGCTGGGGGCGCTTCCACCGGGGCCTGGCCCTTCCCTCCAGCTGAGCCCCTGCACCCACTGCCGGCACCTGTGGGCCCTGCCACTCCGCTCACCTGGTGGATCTCCTGCCAGCCGTTCTCATCGATGCAGCCCACCTTGGCGTAGTCGTGCAGGAGCAGCTCGCAGCAGTAGGGGTCCCCCCCCACCATGACGCTGTGGTACAGGGGGGTCAGGCCCCGGCTGTCCTTGTAGTCCGTGGAGGCACCCAGGTCTAGCAGCGTCTGCGCAAAGACAGGCACGGGCGGGGGGGCATCAGGAGGTGCCCGGCATCTTGGCCCAGCAAGGTGGGCTGCCCGAGGCCACGAAGGAGACGCCTGTATTATGTGGCAGGTGGCACACATGGTCTGCCCTCTGAAGGTGGGCCTGCTGCCCGGGGGGCCCACAGCGCACCAGACCCTCAGCCTTCCCGGGAAGACTTCTCCCTCCGTGCCCAGCACACGTTGGCCTTCAACTCAAACAAACGCATGCTTTGCTTTGCTTTGCTTTATTGAATTAAATGAATTTAATCATGTATTATCATTACGTCATGAACATTATATTAATAATACGTTATGAATATTAATCATTCATTATTGTTAAATAAGTAATTGATCATAATTAGATAAATGTATGTATGGGTTTGTATTTAATTATTTCTTTATTGCGTACATTTATTAAATTAATTTGCCACCCATCTCCGATCGAAACTCCGCCTTTGTGCCCATACACCGTTTGCGACCAGGTGGGGCGGGCTAAAAAGACGCAAGAGGTACTGTCTGAAACAGGGGCGTCCACTCTGGGCCGGTCACTGGGACCGGCGCGTTTGTCTTCCGACCTTCCGTACTCGTGCTGGTGCCCCCACCCTCAGAGACCTTCGCTCTATTTCTCTCACAGCCAACAGACTCCCCCAGAGAGGGCCCCCCAAGGATGGGGGCCCCAGAACTGGGAAGACAACAGCGCTGGTCCTGGTGACCGGCCCAGAGTGGATCCGGCAGTTTTACACCCCACAAGAGCTTCTTCTTTGGGTTCCTGGGCACTCTCTGAGTTTGGTTCTTTTCTTGCAGACGTTTCATGACCCAGCTAGGGAACATCCTCAGGGGAGTGGGAGATTGCACTCTGTACATATGCAGGGGCTGTGTTGGTGGGAGTGTTCTTGGTGTTCCTGTGATTAGGTGGTTGTTTATTGTGTGATGGTTTGTCTGGTATTTATCCTGGTGTTAATCTCTGTTTATCTGGGTGTTGATTGCTGGCAAGGAGGTACTGGGGTCTTTTAGCTTTTTGATTGACCTCCCTCTCTTCTAGCCCTGACGATGTTACCTAGTTGGGTCCTGAAACGTCTGCAAGAAAACCACCCGGCTCAGAGAGCGTCAGAGACCCCACAATCCTCCTTCTCCTTCTCCTCCTCCTCCTCCCCCACCACCACCCCCACCATCACTAGCACCACAAACCCCTCCCTCCTAGCCCTGACAATGTTCTCTAATTGGATCCTGAAACATTGACAGGTAAACCACCAAGCTCAGAGAGCACCAAGGATCCCACAATCATCCTCCTCCTCCTCCTCCTCCTCCTCCTCCTCCTCCTCCTCCTCCTCCTCCTCCACCACCACCACCACCACCACCACTAGCACCACAAACCCCTCCCTCCTAGCCCTGACGATGTTCTCTAATTGGATCCTGAAACGTTGACGGGAAAACCACGCAGCTCAGAGAGCACCAAAGACCCTGCAGAGCTACAAATATTCTCTCCTCTCAGCGTCTTCCTGGGAAAGCAACTCGGAAGTCGGCAACGAGGCTACTGGACTCCCTCGGAGGTTTTACCGCCTTGGTGCTGCCTGGCTTTCCTTTGCCAGCCTTGCGCCTCCCACAATCCCAGCCCTGTCCAAGGAGGGTCTGGCAGGGACCCTGGCAGGGCCAGCTGTCCAGGCTGAGTGGAGCGACCAGAGCACCTTCGGTGCCCCGGCCGAGAGAGACTCACCCGCAGGGCAGTGTGGTTCCGACATCGGACAGCCTTGTGCAGGGCCGTCATCCCTTCCCGGGTGCGGAAGTCCAAGTGGGCACCGCCATTCTTCAAGGCTTTGATCATCTCGGCACAGAACTCCAGCTGGGCACTCATGGTCAGCGGGCATTCTGGGAAGGGGGAGCAGAGACAGTCTTTGGAGGGTCTCTTCAGCCTCCCCGTCACCATCTCCCCTCAGCTCCACCTGGGCCGCTCTGCTGTGGATCGACCGCTGCCTCCCTTGTGCTGATCCCCCCCACTGGACCCCCCAGGCATCACGAGAAGACGGGTCAGGGCTGGGCCCAACCTCATAGCCTATAAATAAAGTATTCAATTTAATTCAGTTCAATTTATAGCCAGCAGCAGGGATAGGATACCGGATATAAAAGACGCCCTGTGTGAACGTGGAGAAGGACACACCACCTCACAGGTGCTGCGGCGCATACAAAAGCCTTCAACGCACATGGAGGAAGACCTCACGCTGGCAGGACAAAATGCTGCTGACGTGGCCCGATCTTGGGTGGATGCCATTTAGTTTTAACCCTCTTTATTTGCACATTTTTTTGATATATTTTTGATATGCCTTTTTTATGCCTGTTTTAGTTACTCGGTACTGAATGTGAGGCGGCTGTGTGTGCTTCTGGCACAAATAAAGAAATAAAAGCAGGGCGGATGGCTAGGTGGTGACCGGGTAGGAAGAAGGTTGCAAATGGAGAGAACTGTGTGTGTGTGTGTGTGTGTGTGTGTGTGTGTGTGTGTGTAGCTGCTGCCCTACAGACAAAACTTCCCAGACTTTATCCTTACTCAGTGGTGGATGAAAAGCCAGCCTCCCTGGCTGGGTTCACACAACATGCTAGACCAAACTCCTTAACCCCATTTACACTTGCCTGGCTCCTTGCAGGAACAAAAGTGGGTGCAATATCCCAACTGCTCTAAAGCAAGCAAAAGATCGAACTATACAAACGTCCTAGAGCAGACTCCAGAAGACACGGATTCGAAACAGGTTAAAGCCAGAGGATCCCTCCTTGGCCTGTGAAGGTCCCCTTAAGCTCCAGGCTTTCTCAACCACGGCAACTTGAATATAGGTGGACTTCAACTCCCAGAATTCCCCAGCCGGCTGTGGCAACCTGGCGCCTATCCAAATCTCACCTCCTGTGTCCGGGTCGTGAAAGTTGGGATCCAGTCCTTTCTCCAGCAACCTGCTGACCTTCTCCACATTCAGGGTCTGCACATAGTCCATAAATTTCTTCAGATTCGCCTGCAGTCACAAAACCCAGGAAGAAAGCAGGCCAGTTAGAAGCTCTCCCTGGCCGCCAGGCTGCAGGCGGGGGTCCGGAGGCCCCCTCCTCCCACTGAAGGAGAGCTGAGGGTTGCTTGTACCAATCCCCCCATTCACACCCGACCTCTCATCCATTCGATCTGGCACCGGGGAGTGTTCCAGCACACAAAACTTTTTCCACATCTTTTTTACGTTGTGGTGACCAACGCTGGGTGCAGCATTCCCATTTCCTTAGCAGGGCCTTATAAAGTGGGGTTAACACTTCCCGTGATCTCAACTTTAAGCAGTCTGGATCTCGACTCCCAGACCACCCCAGCCAGCCTGCTCCCTAAACCAAGATTCTGGCCCCGTGTGACATTAGACCTCAGCCTCGGATGACCAGCAAATAACGCGACGGATTGTTATTGCAAGAATGGCTGGGCCTAATCCAGAACCAGGAACAGCCCAACCAAGAAGGCCGCTGTGCAAAAGCCCCCCCTCCTTCTACAAGGCAGCTCCAGATGTGCTGGAAGGGAGTTGTGCATTCCATTCTCCTGAAGCCACCCCGACTCGGTGGACAAACTTTCCTACTGCATTTAGCTTTGGCCCCTTTAACCTTAGCAGACACGTGCACCGATGCCCCAGAAACACCACCCTGCTTTGCAAAACCTGCCCCTTCCACGAGGACCGATTCTGTTTCCTTGTATGACCTGAAACCCATCACTAATCTGGGGCAGGACAAGGTCCCAGAGAGGGCCCAATCCACACTGCCTCCACACGGGACCCAGGTGAGGAGCGAGAGCTTCAGGCACCCCAGGCTTCCTCTGAAGGTCCAGGCTCTGCTTCCCACCTGGCCCAGCTGCCTCCCCAGCCTTGTGGACCATCCTCTCTCTCTCTCTCTCTCTCTCTCTCTCTCTCTGTGTGTGTGTCTCTCTCTCCCTCCCTCCCTCCCTCTCATCTATAAATTCATTAACGGGCGGGGAAAGGCCGGTGCCCTGGAGATGTTTATTTTCAGATTAAGTCAGGTTCCACCCAGCCTGGTTTCCTTTTGGATCCCTTGCAGATCAGGACTGTACCAGGCTCCGTGAGGGCATCTGAGCTGTGGGGCTCCTTCAGCTCTGGCACCTTCTGCCGTCAGCTGCCCCACTTTGGTGCCTCCCCTCCCCTTCACCGGCAGGAGACGGGCCTTTGCAGAGATGCCGGAGACAGGAAGATGTTCGAGGGAGAGGCAGCTGGATGAACAGGCTGATGTTGCTGCTGCTCGAACGAATCCCTGGCTCAGAGGCAGGAAGACTGGCGAGAGGGAGGCAGTGAGATCCCCCTCTTCTCTAGCGGCATCTCTGCTCTCTCCTGAACCAGGGAAGGGGCTCTTTCCAGAGAACCATCGTCCACCGCCCGAGCACCCTCCAATCCATCGCCTTCTGCTGCTCAACAGGTGCAGTCCAGGCAAGGCCGATTCAGGGTCCTGCCAGGGGCCTCCCTCCACTCCAGGGGGCTCCCGAGAGCTGTCCGAGGTCCTGAAAAGCCCATCAGCTCTGGGCCTTTGGCAGTCCCCTGTCCCCCCCCCCCCAGATGCCAGCCCATTAAGCAAAGTGGTTTGGCTTCCGCTCAACCCCGGGCCCAGCCACGGATCGGGGGAGTTCCTTCTGGCCCACCGCTCCCCTTTCAAAAGCGGATAAAAATAGAGCAGCGCATCCCTTTCAATTAACTGGCCTTCTGCAATTACAGAAATGAAACGAGGGCATGTGCCAAGCCACAGAAGCTGACAGAGCCAACACGGAGTAGCTCAGTGCTCCTTGGCTGATATAAGATGGATGGGGGGGGGGCAGCCTGAGCTGGAATCCCTGCTGGGGAAGGAGGCTGTTCCTGCTCTCTTTGCCCTAGGTTAGAGTCAGGGTCAAGCCCCCTGCAGACATTGCCTGCCTGGCCAAGCAGAGGAAAATCTGATCTTCTGGAGAGGGCCACCCTGGGCACCCAAGGACATCACCCCCCAAGTACAGAGGACTCCAGACCTTCTGCTGAGGGTCTAGCCCAGGGGTAGGCAACCTTGGCTCTTTTATGACTGGTGGACTCCAACTCCCAGAATTCCTGAGCCAGCCATGCTGAGGGGAAAGGGAGAGTTTCCAAGCTGAGCCAGGCTGGCTCAGGAATTCTGGGAGTTGAAGTCCACCAGTCACAAAAGAGCCAAGGTTGCCTACCCCTGGTCTAGACCCTGTGAGGCTTTCCAATCCAGGCGAGAGGAAGGCTGCATCCCAAGTTGGACCCAGCCACGAAAGCCCTTTCCCAGAGAAGGAGGGCAGCGGGGCCAAGTCCCTACCCACCCGATCGAAAGCCAGGGGGAGGAGCGATGGATCCTATTGTCCATCAGGCTCAAGGCTGAAGGGCTGCAGCCTTCTGAAGGGGGCTCCAGACTGGGAAAGCTACAGATGTATCAGCTGCACAGGTGAGAGGGGGGATGGTGCTCCAGATGTGAGAGGGCAGGAGACCGTCCTCCTGTGGCTCTTCCATGAGCAAGAGAGCCTCTCACTAGTGGAGCACCCAGGTCCAGCTGTCCAGCTCCTGCTGGCCCTCATCCCCTCTGGGTTTCTCTCCGGACCTTGGAGAAAGAAGGACGAGCAGGTCAGCTGCCCTCTGGGGGGGAGGGGGAGGAAGGGGTGCTCTGCTATTACGACTCTCCTGGGCCAGCGAAGGCTGGGGAGAGGCTGACCCCCATCTTTATGCCACTCAGTGGAGATTTTCCCCTAAGCCTGCGTGGAATCAACTGAGGAGCCTGTAACGTTTCTCCTGGCTGGGTGGGGACCCTGATATTTTTGGAAACGTGAAGACCGAGAGGGTGATGGAACGAGAGCCCCGGAGCAGAGCCCACCCCTCCTCCTCTTTGCCAGGTGCCCAGGAGATCCGCCTCTTCTTACAAGGAAGTAAAGATCAAGCCCAGGGGACGGATGGACAGGCTGCCCGTTTCCAAAATCCCCACTGCTCCGAGAACATCCACACCCCCAAAAAGGCTTCACAAAGGCTAGGCCTTGTTTTTAGCGGAAGGCATGTCGGTTATTCTTAGTGTTGGATTCAGGCTGCGCAACATTCCCTTCTGCTCGCCTCCTGTTCGTTGTGCACTTTGCTACTTTGGGGACCGGCTGAAAAGGCAGCCTCCATAGAAACCGCTCTCAGCCTCTCTTCCTTCTACATCCTTCAGGCAGCAGGTTGCCAAGGAACTCAACCTCCGCCTCCTGTTGTAATTGGCTGCACACTTGAATTCTACAACAGGGCTACAAGTGTGATCAAACACAGAGAAAATAAGGCAGAGAGAGCAACTAGTCCCAGCCCTCAGTCCTCCTAACTCACCTCTTGGCAGATCGGAGGGAGGGAGGGAGGGAAGGAGGAAGGGAGGGAGGAACTGGGAAGGGGGAACAAGGAAGAAGCTGGGCGTGAGAGGAAGGAAGGGAGGGAGGGAGGGAGGGAGGGAGGGAGGGAGGAAGGAAGGAAAGAAATGGGAAGGGGGAACAGGGAAGGAGTGGTCATGAGAGGAAGGAAGGAAGGAAGGAAGGAAGGAAGGAAGGAAGGAAGGGAAGGAAGGAAGGAAGGAAGGAAGGAAGGAAGGAAGGAAGGAAGGAAGGAAGGAAGGAAGGAAGGAAGGAAGGAAGGAAGGTTGGTTGATGCCATGTAGCCCAGAAGGGAGGGAGTGTATTCCAGCGAAATAAGAATAAGTAAAAATCTCAGTTCAGATAGTTACTGTGAGCGAAGAGGGTGAAGACAGCTCCTTCTTAATAGTTCCAGAATCTATGCTTCAGTTTGGCAAGATTCTGCCTTTAGGAGTGGAACAATAAAGGAGTCTGCTTGGGAGAACCACTACCTGCTTTGGGATATTCCAGCCCTGCCACTTGGAGGCCTCATTCTTTCTTCCTAGCAACAAACTGTGGGCACAACAGATACACTTAATTAATGCTGCATCCCACTTTCGTGTGAGAACCCCACAATGTCAATGTGAGGATATCAGATTGCATGAATCATACCTGAGGGCCCCCAGCAAAGGGCCGAGGATCAGGCTGACCTGCAGGTATTTTGTTTTCCTAAGTGACCAGGAGGAGGCAAGTGTCCCTGTCTACAGCCAGGGAAAAAGGAGAACCCAGGAAACTACAGGTAGTCCTCAAGTTACGACCACAATTAATGGCTTGGGCCAATCACCTTAAGGGCTGAGCATCCAAGAGTCAGCTTGTTTGGGAGACGGGCAACATTGAAACTGACTGACTGACTGACTGAATGAATCTGTGTGCATGAGCCAGACAGCCATGCTGGTGAAGAAGGTGGGTATATGTGTGTGTATGTGGGGGGGTGGTGGTGGCTAGAAGTGATCCCTTAGCTGCCCTCCACTGCCCTCCAACTGCCACAAAGGCAGGGAGGCCCAGCCAACTTCAGCTCAAATGGGAAGGAGCGGAGAAGCTCCCTTTTGGAAAGAAAGGAACGGAGGACAGAGTGAAGGGAAGAAGAGAGGGTCCGGGAGGGGAGGGGGGGCTGAGGTCTCCCCTTCACACGACACCGACACCGAAAGCAATTAACGACTGCCAGCTGCCACTCGCTGGCTGGCTCGCTGGCTCCATGCCAGCCCAAATGAAGCCTTGGAAGAAAGCTGCCCCCCCCCCGCCAGGTGCCAAGGGGGCCTGGAGTCCCCGAGCCAAGCGGGAGCTCGGGAGGGGCCGTCTTGGACTTCTGCCAAAGCCGGCCAGGAGGATCGATAGCCAGCGAGGGGGGGCGTCCCATCGATCCCCAGCCACCCACGGCCACTGGATCGATGTCCTGACGCACAAAGGCTGCCCTGTCCAAGGCGAGGAGGGCGGGCAAAGGGTCTCTGGACTGCAGGGGCCAGTCTCTTGATCTGCTGCCCGTCACAGCAGGGGCCTTGCTGGCTGGGAACTAGGGGCACTGTAGTCCCACCCATCTCCAGGAGCCGATTTCTGCTGAATGCCATTGGATCTGAGGCCTCAGAAACACAGGCAGGTTGTGCCTCCTGCAGCAAACTGGTTCCTCGGTCTGGCTTCACACAACAGGCTCAGCCCGCAACCTGCTTTGGGAAACACCACTTTTTTATCTGCACAAAGTGTCTCGCATCGAAAGCAGGGAGCCCCACTGCGTGCGACATTCGTGTGTCCTGCCAAGATGGTACCTGGACTCCCACCTCAGGCTGAGATGCAGAACCCTAAACCCCACTCCTGCAAACCACCAACAAAGAGCACTTACAGGGAGTCCTCATTCCATGACTGCCTCATTTAGTGACCGTTCACTACAACGATGAAAAAGTAACTCTGCGACCAAGCTTCGCGTTTATGACCTTCGCAGGTCTGCAGAGCAAAGGAAAACTGAAGGACGCCCAGCTGCAGGTTCACTTAGCAACCACATTGCTTAATAACCAAGTTGTGGTCGCTAACGGAGGACAACCCATAATACAGACTGCAAAGCGCAGCCCTTTCTCCCAGATGGGACCCTCACTCTGGGACCCCCAGACAGCATGGGAATTATAGTTGTGCTCCTTATCTGGGGAGCAGAAATCCCATCAGGAGAGCCGGACTGGGGCGGGGAGGGGAAGGCGCCAGGCTAGTAAGGGAGGACCATTCAGCAGAAATGCAAGTTTTAGGCCTGCCTTGTCAGAAAGCCAGCTGGACGGTCTTGGGCCAGCCCGTCTCGCTCAGCCCTGGGAAGAAGGCAATGGGAAACCCCTCCTGGGAGAGGCCCAAAAAAGCTGCAGGGGACTCAGGAATGGTTTGAAGGCAGATGCGTGCTCTCTCTCTCTCTCTTTCTCTTTCTCTTTCTCTCTCTCTTTCTCTCTCTGTCTGTCTCTCTGTCTCTCTGTCTCTTTCTGTCTCTGTCTCTCTCTCTTTCTCTCTCTCTCTCTCTTTCTGTCTTTCTGTCTCTCTCTTTCTCTTTCTGTCTCTCTCTCTCTCTTTCTCTTTCTCTTTCTGTCTCTCTCTTTCTCTTTGTCTCTCTCTCTCTCTCTCTCTTTCTCTTTCTGTCTCTGTCTCTTTTTCTCTCTCTTTCTGTTCTCTGTTCTCTGTCTCTCTCTTTCTCTGTCTCTTTCTCTCTCTCTCTCTGTCTCTCTCTCTCTCTCTCTCACACACACACACACACACACACACACCTTTAGCAGGAGGATTGCTGTGGAAATACATTGAGGACTGCAGGATGAGGAGGGCAAAAAGGCCAGGATGGCCCTCAGCCTCCCTCCCTCCCTCCCCCCCCCCGCATGGGCACATTGAGAGGGCCCCCAAGTCCCCTCCCCCACCCTGGGCTCCTTCTGAGGGCTGAGCAGAAATGGCCCCAGGGCCTCCCCAGCAGCCGCTCAGCCCTCCCCCCACAAGCCCTGCCCACGGTGCTCCCAGCAGCTGGGACTGCTCAGCCCTGGCTGGGCTCTCTGGGGTCCAAGTCAGCCCCAGCTTCCCTCACCCCCCCCCCCGTGTGCCCCACAAAAGGAAGAGTAGGGAGGGGGCAGGGTCAGGATCGGAGCCCCCCCCCGTGGGGGGAGGGGGGGAGAGGAAGGGGTACCTTGCTTCTGGTGCTGGACCACTCGCTCCTCAGCCTGTGTTGCATTCTTCCCAGATGGGCCCCCATCTTCCTGCCCTTCCCCTTCGCCCTCCCTCCAACTCCCTCTCCCCCCAGGCTTCAGAAAGGGCGTGCGACTCACAACTCGGACAGACACACACTCGTGATGTCACACACATGCACAGGCATTGACACATTCCATAACTTGAGCCTGTCCAAGCAAAACAGCAGCCTGGGGGACAAATCCCACCAGAGCCAACTCGGCCAGCCTCCTCCTCCTCCTCCTCCTCCTCCTCCTCCTCCTCCGGCAGGGGGGGGGACAGCCCTCCCCTCCCTTCCTGCCTGTCACTCCCCCCTCTGCCCTTTGTCTGCATGCTGCCTGCCCCCACTCAGCTCAGGAGTGATTTGGGGTGGGGGCCCTCTGGGGACCCCAAGCGAGCAGGATCAGTGGGGATTGGCTGCAGCATCCTTCCCTCCTGGCTCCAATCAATCAATCAATCAATCAATCAATCAATCAAAGAATAGAGCTGGAAGGGACCTTGGAGGTCTTCTAGTCCAACCCCCTGCTCAGGAAGGAGACCCCATGCCATTTCAGACAAATGACTGTCCAGTCTCTTCTTCAAAACCTCCAGTGATGGAGCTCCCACAACTTCTGGTGGCCAGCTGTTCCAGTGGTTAATTGTCCTTACTGTTAGGAAGTTTCTCCTTAATTCCAGGTTGCTTCTCTCCTTGATGAGTTTCCATCCATTCTTTCTTGTCCTGCCTTCTGGGGCTTTGGAGAATAATTTGACCCCCTTAAACCCTGGAATGCTGCTACCGTGTCCCCCCCCCCAGGCCTTCTTTTCTCCAGACTGGCCATACCTGGTTCCTGCAGCCGTTCTTCTTCCTATGGTTTAGTCTCAGGCCTTTGATCATGCTAGCTGCTTTGCCCTCTTTCCAAAGTCTGCCTGGGCCACAGAGGGAGGGTGGTCGGTGTCTGGCATGCTTTTGCCGCTTTGGGGGGGGGGGTCCCTTCGTATTAGAAGCTCCTGCTGCCCCACTTCTGCCCCACTCAAGACCCCAAAGAAGCCACCAGCAAGGTGGGGCTCCTCATGTGCACAAGGCAAGAAGCAGCAACGGCAGCTGCCGAGCCGATATTATCCTTTGATGGCCTTATTTTCTTTCCTTTCCCACGTTCAACAGGAATTCAGGCTAGCACATCTGAGCCCCTCCACAAACCCAAAATGCTTGCTTGGCCCAGGGAGTTTAGCCTTGCCTAACCCCTTCCAGTGGGCTGTTCCAGGAAGGAAAAGGAAGGTGTAGGGCAGATGAAGGAGCCCATGAAGGTCTCTCCTCGGACAGATGACCGGTGCTGCACGGAGGGCCTGGCCTGGTCGAGTTGGCAGGATCTCCCTCTAACCGAGTGGTTCTCAACCTGTGGGTCGGGACCCCATTTGGGGTCAAACGGGGGTCGTCAAACAACGCAGTCCGCCATTTTTTCCCCCCTTTTCCTTAGCTGTGCTCCTCCCTTTTATTCTATTGGCTTTTGAAAGCCAAGAGAAGAGACTCTCTTGAATAGAGTCTAATTCTATTGGCTTTCCAAAGCCAGTAGGAATTGTCCAGGCTGTCTCTGCTGAGCCCGCCAAAAGTCCCATTCTGCAAACGGGGCTGCACCAGTTGAGTAGTCCTCGACTTACGACCGGTTGGGGGTCGCGGCATTAAAAAGGTTGAGAACCACTGAGAGTCTAACCAGATGGAGGAGCCTTTTTGTGACCGGTGCCAGCAAAGGGAAATAAAAGCCCGACTCTGCCGGGTGGCACCAGCCTGAGGAGGTGTTGCCCACCTGGATCTTCCAAGGGGGGGCATTTTGAAAAGGGACAGATGGGCTGCCAGTTCCCCCTGCGGGGCTGGAGGCTCCACCTGGTCCACCGGGCCCTCCAGGGAGATTATTGAACCCCCCCCCCCAGGCTGGCCTGGCATCTGCCACCTTGGCATCTCTCCGCAGCACCACTTCCAGCTTGGGTGGAGAGTGCCCTGTCCTGCCTCACAAGGAAGGAGGGCGACGGGGTGACAGCCACAGCCACAACTCCTGTCCCTCCAGCCCTGGAGGCCAGATGAAGCCAAGTGGGCTGAGCCGCTTCGGCCGAAGAGGGAAGACGGAGCCCCTTCCGCCTGGCTTTACTGAGACAAGCAGCTCATATAGCAGCGGGCAGGACAATTGACCGGTGGAACGGCTTGCCACCAGAGGTTGTGGGTGCTCCAACGCTGGAAAAGTTTGGGCAGCCATTTCTCTGGAATGGTGTGGGGTTTCCTGCTTGAGCAGGGGGTGGACTAGAAGACCTCCAAGGCCCTTTTGAACCCTACTAGTCTGCGTTCTATGTTGTAACACGAGGTCTACGCAAGCTAGATGGGGCCAGACAGAAGTACAGAAGATCTGGGTGTCCCTCAAGTCTTGCCTGATCCCGGATTTCACCTCTCTTTTGCCCCTGGAAACGGGGCTCCCTTCGGTGGGTCTGGCTGCCTTGAGGGAGAGAAGACCCCTGGAGGAGCCTGCCATGCTCAGCCCAGCCCAGCCCAGCCGGCCTCCGACAGTGGGGTGAGGCTCAGGGCTTGCAGCCGCTTCTAGAGCTCGACCTGTGCCATGCAGCCAGAAGACCCCCCCCCGCCCCCCAGGGCCACGGCTTACCTTCGTGTGCAGCTTGGCGAACTGCTTGTCATCCAGCAGCGGCTGGGAATAGACGCGCCTCTTGTATCGGAACTGGAGTGGGAGGCAAAGAGAGGAAGGAGCGTCAGCCAACAGCCCCAGCGTCGGTCAAACGTCTGTGGATTTATTTATTTATTTATTTATGAGACTTATATACCGCTTTAAGTGCGAGCACTCTCTAAGCGGTGTACACCAGTAAGCAATGTATATATATATTTACATTGCCCCCCACAATCTGGGTCCTCATTTTACCTACCCTGGAAGGATGGAAGGCTGAGTCAACCTTGAGCCGGTGAGATTGGACCCCGGGAGTCCGGTGGAGCTCTCTGGCCCCAAGGCGGCCATCCAGGAAGAGATTTGGGCTGCTGGTCAGTGGAAAGTTTGCTGACCCGCTGGTTCAATCCATCCCACCCTTCCGGGCCTGCTGCAGACATGGCCTGCAGCTCTCCCCCCCCCCCCCCCGCCACTGGCTCCCCCGCTAAATGCCAGTAGATCCCCCTCCCAAGGCCAAGGGGAGGTCAGGCCACGCCAGCACCTGCTGGCTTAAAGCTTCTGCAGCTGCTGAAACACAGCAAATCCAAAGGCTGCTCTTTAAGGACATCCCACTCCAAGCGTTGGTCCCCCTTGGCCAGGGGTGGGCAACTAGGGCCCCTTTAGGACCTGTGGACTTCAACTCCCAGAATTCCTGAGCCAACAAGGAGAATCTTTGTAGCTCGGGGTTGAACTGTGGGGTCCCTGGTGCTCTCTGAGCTGGGTGGTTTCCTTGCAGATGTTTCATGACCCAACTGGGTAACGGCATCATCAGCGTTAGCGAACACTAGTCCTGACGATGCTATCTAGTTTGTTAATGAAGTGTCTACAAAAAGCAACCAAGCTCAGAGAGTACCAAGGACCTCATAATCTCCCTCCCCCCTCCTCCCCCCTCCTCCCCCTCCTCTCCTCCCCCTCCCCTTCTAGCACTGATGATGTTACCACCCAGCTCAGAGCACAGCAAGGACACTTTGGCCCCACCTTTGCTTGAAGAACCTCTGACTTTGCCCTGCATGTTAGGCTGAACTGGGGTCCCCCTCTGGCTTCCCAGCAACGGACCTGTCAGACTTCCCCCCTCCCTGCCAGCAGACCCCGCTTTCCAGCGTCATCCCCCCAACCACCAGGGAGTCGCTGCCTGCCGGGTCCTGGGGCAGGTGGGGGCAGGCAGAGGTTGCGAAGTGGGGCGCGCCCCCCTCCCACGAACCAGGCCGAGGCCTGCCGGCCACTACCTCCAGGTAAGGGACGGGGGTCTCCGGGTTCAGGGGGTACTCCCGCAGCAGCCGCTCTTCGTGCAGGAACTTCCCTGCCCGGCCGTTGAAGGCCGGCTGGAAGAGGCCATAGTTGAGGACGTCCTTCAGGCTGTGGTTCAGGGTGCAAAGGATGCGCTGCTTGGAGGTCCAGATGGGGACATCGGGGTTCAGCCGCAGACACTTCTGTGGAGGGGGGCGAGAGGCAAAGGGGGGAGAGCGTCAGAAGCTGCCCAGGCAGGGGGGGGGGCGCAGGAGCGAGACGCCCAGAGCCCCAGGAGGCTGTTTAAACCTCGGGTCATCCATTGACTCGGCGGATGGCCGTCCGTCCACGGATTTCCAATATCCATTAACATTTCACCGGCATTAAAGAAGCCACAATAAAACATGAATGTTCAAAAGATCTACATTCAGATGCAGGCAGCCCTCGACTTACCACTGAAAAAAGGGACCAGTGACTGTTTTTCACACTTACAACCATTGCGACGTCCCTTGGGTCCTACGATCAAAATTCAGACGCTTGGCAACTGACTCATATTTAGGACGGTCGCTGTGTCCCTGGGCTGACGCAAACCCCTTTTGCGACCTTTCAACAAGCAAAGTCAAGGGGGGAACTGGTTTCACTTAACAACCGTGTTACTCACTTAACAACGGCAGCGATTCACTTAACAACTGAGGCAAGAAATGTCTTAAAATGGGGCAAAACTCACTTAACAAATGTCTCACTTAGCAACGGAGAGAAGGGCCCCCCAAAATGTGAAAAATACATAAATAAAATGGTGCTTGCTGCATCGTCACGTGATCTCCATTTGCAACCATCCCAATAGGCAAAAGTCAGTGGGGTAAGCCGGATTCGCTTAACGGCTGCGTGATTCACTTAACAACCATGGCCCAAAAATATGTCTTAAAATACGACACAACTAACGACCGCCTTGCTTAGCAACGGAAAATCAGGTCCCGATTGGCGTTGTAAAGCGAAGACTATCCGCTCGGCACACAAACATTGGGGGGTTTATCAAAGGCTACAACTTGGCCGAGCGTCCTGACAACAAATGGGTTTCGCTGCCTGTCTCGGAGGGGTGCGTAGTTGTGTTGTTATTTGGGGGGGGGGCTGGGGGTGCACTTCCAGGAGCCAGTCAGTTCGTTTGGGGAGGACGAGTCTCTCTCTCTCTCTCTGCCCTCCTCTCTCCAGAAGGCAGAGATCGGAAATGGGGAGATCAGAAAGGCCTCAATTGACAGCCGAAGCTTCCCTGGAGCCAGAGGGACTTGGCAACCGCTATCCACACCTTGGCGCCAAGCCCTCTGGATTGCTACGGTGTGCTTCATGTGGGGCTGCCCCTGGAGTATGTCCTGACATTTCCTGGCAGCGAGAACAATTAATTAGTGGAACGGCTTCCCTGCAGGAGTTGTGGGTGCTCCAACACTGGAGATTTTTAAAAAAGGGACTGGACAACTTGGGAACTGTAAGACTTGTGGACTTCAATTCCCAGAATTCTGGGAGTTGAAGTCCACAAGTCTTAAAATTCCAAGGTTGGACACTGCTGGTGTTATAGGGTCTCCTGTTTGAGCAGAGGGTTGGGCTAGAGGACCTCCATGGTCCCTTCCAACTCTGTTTATTCTGCTCCCTTATTCTGGCTCAAGGATCCTGTGGGATCCTCCATCTTATGGAGGATTTGCTCTGGCTGGCGATTGCTAAGGGGATGCAATTCCATGTGTTGGCATTGACCTTTAAATCCCCCCCCCAAATGAAGAGCCCCCTCCTCTTTACCCCTTCCCTGAGAAATGGTTCCTCTGCCTGTGCCAGGCGAGGGCTGAAATAGGGGCCTTCTTTCTGATATTTATGCCCAGCAAGAAAATTATGCCTCTCCTGAAGCTTGGTTGCTGCTTTATCAAAGAAACTGACACACACACACACACACACACACACACACACACACACACACAGAGAGAGAGTGAGAGAGAGAGAGAGAGAGATGAGAAAGAGAGAGACAGACTGAGAAAGTGAGAGAGAGAAAGAGAGAGAGATGAGAGAGAAATGAGAAAGAGACAAAAAGAGAGACAGAAAGAGAAGAGAGGGAGAGAGAGAGAAGGAGAGAGAGAAGGAGAGAGAGAGACAGAGAGAGAGATGAGAAAGAGAGAGATGGAGAGAGAGAGGGAGAGAGATCTATAGATTGAAAGCTTGGAGCAGCAAGAGAGAGCACGCAAACCCTGAATTCAAGATGAAAATGAATAATGCAGAGGCTTGTGAGCTGAGCACACCCATTGCCTCTATACAAAAAAAGGAAAAGGGGGGGGGGGTTGACATGGAAAAAAAATGTAGGGAAACACCCTAAAATAATCTGCCACCCTTCTTGATCAGTCGTGCCATTTTTATACCCTACTTTTCATCAGTATCTGGAAGTCCAACTATCAATATTCCAAATGTGATCTTACCAAAGCATAAGAAAGTGATTATACCACTTTATAATGTCTTATTAAGGCCACACTTGGAATATGGCATCCAGTTTTGTTAGCCACAATATAAAAAAGATGCTGATACTCTGGAAAGTATGCAGAGAAGAGCAACAAAGCTGATTAGGAAGCTGGAGGCTAAAACCATATAAAGAATGGTTGCAAGAATTGGGTATGTCCAGTCTAACGAAGAAGGACTAGGGGAGACATGAGAGCAGTCTTCCAAAATCTGAGGGGTCTTCCGCAAAGAAGAGGGGGTCAACTTATTCTCCAAAGCCCCTGAAGGCAGGACAAGAAAGAACGGATGGAAACTAACCAAGGAGAGAAGCAACCTGGAACTAAGGAGACACTTCCTAACAGTGGGAACAATCAAGCAGTGGAACGGCTTTTCCCTCCAGGCATCGTGGGGAGCGGGGGGGGGGGCAGAGTCCTGATCCCATATGACTAGGGCATCCAGCTCTGGCGATGCATTTTTAAACAGGCTCACATCCAAGCAAGCAGAGGGCCACAATGTCTTCCAATGCAGCTCCCCTTAATATATATATTCTGCATACCAGTTGAATAAATAAGGGGAGAGGAAGCAGCCTCACCTCATCCATAAACATACCTCAACGTACCCAAACATGTCAGAGCTATTCGGGTTACTCTGCATTGTGTGAAAAAAATATTTCCGTTCCCACCCAGCTTTACTTAGTGCCATCTGGGCAGGAAGGTGAGACGTAAACTGCAATCATAACCAGAAGAACGTGGGCTGTCCGAGGGCACCAGCTGCATCCACGCCACCGTAAAAGCCCCTGTTGACCGAAGGCTGATTCAGAGCAGAGGCTGCCGGCCCCTGAGTAAACACGACTCAGGGCTGGCCGTATGCGAGGCTGGCATGCCGCTGGGAGCGAGCCCACGTCCTGACATTTTGATATATGTTCTGACATTTCACTGAATGGGCACGGAGAGACTCTCAGAGGCCTTTGTGCTAGCAATCCAGTGAAAATCAAGTGGAATAACTATGAAAAATGGGGGCCTTGTTTGTCACAAGACCGGCTCTCAACCAACGCTCGGACTTACATCTTTCCCTCAGCTCTAAAATGAACACAACAGAATGACAGAATCAGAAGGGACCTTGGAGGTCTTCTAGTCCAGCCTCCTGCTCAAGCAGGAGATCCTAGGCCAGGGGGCCCCCAACCCCCCAGTCTGTGGACTGGTACCGAGGCACTGCATGCCAGCAACTGGTCCACACAAACAAGCAAAGCCCCATCCACGGGATGCAGGCAACACACAAAACCACACACCCTCCAGAAAAACCTCTCTCCACGGAACCGGTCCCTGGTGCCCGAAGTGTTGGGGACCTCTGCCCTAGGCCACTCCAGACAGATGGCTGTCCAGCCTTGTCTTAAAAGCTTCCTCATCATGAAAAGGTCTCAGTTATTGTTAGAAGGCCTACTGAGTACGTGAGACACCAAACTGGTCTACAAGAAAGACCAAATGAAGAAGACATGAGACACGGGAAGACAAAGTATTACATGGCCAATACATTAAAAAAAATAGCCAGGAAAGCAGACCTGGCAATGGCTAAGAGGAGGAAAGCTGAAGAAATACAAAGCCAGAACTGAGAAGACAGCAGCAGGCAGTGAGTGCCGCCTCTGCAAAGAAGCTGAAGAAACAGGAGACCACCCGGTAAGCTGTTGCAAGAAGATCGCCTGGGCTGACTACAAGCAGAGGCCTGACAAAGTAACAACAATGATGCATTGGAAGAGCCGCAAGAATTACCATTTGCCTGCAAGCAAGAACTGATGGGACCGTAAAAGAGAGAAAATTGTAGGCAAGCACCTGACACTTAACAACACCAGACTTAACAACTGTTGCTAAGAAAGACAAAAAATTTTAGACAGTGGATGTGGATGGAAGAATAGAAAGAAGACAACAAAATACAAAGCCCTATAAACAGAACGATTGTGGCAAAAGGAAGCAAAGTTAGTACCAAGACCCACAAAACACTGGAACACCATTTGAACACCATTCGGCATTGACAAAAGCACCATCAGTCAATTGCAAAAGGCAGTTTTACTCGGAGGGGCTTACATCCTGTGATGACACCAGTGGCCCCATAAAACATCCTGACCTGCCTATCCCGGGTCCTTAGGAAGGACTCAACAGGTGGGCAAAAATCCAAATCCAGTCTAAACATCTGGCTGGCTGGGTAACTAACCCTAATACTACTTTAGGAGATTGGGAAGGCCATCTTCAGATCTGACAGGAAGTGCTTTAACTGCTATACCTTGCAGCCCGGAAGGCTACCATCCTTGCCACCACCCTTCCCCAGACTGGACTGCCTGCCTGTGGGTCTTGACCCCTGACGGCCAAAGTGGGGAATCCCTCCATGTCTCGTGAAGGTCTGCTGATAACGGGTATTACAAATGAATGAAAGAAGGGAAGGGAAAGGAGGAGGAGAAGGAAGAGAAGGAGAAGAAGGAGGAGGAGGTAGAAGAGGAGAAGGTGAGGTGGCGCAGCAGTTAGAGTGCAGTACTGCAGGCCACTTTAGCTGACTGTGTTCAGCAGGTCAGCGGTTCAAATCTCACCGGCTCAAGGTTGACTCAGCCTTCCATCCTTCCGGGGTAGGTAAAATGAGGACCCAGATTGTTGGGGGCAACGTAAATATATATATACATTGCTTACTGGTGTACACCGCTTAGAGAGTGCTTGCACTTAAAGCGGTATATAAGTCCCATAAATAAATAAAT